AAAACAATAATCTACACATCAAGGATGCTCCACAAGTTCCAAGAATAATTGCAAAGAGACCCACAAATAGACACATCATAGTAAAAATGCTTAAAGTCAAAGGCAGGGAGAAAAATCTTGAAAAAACGTACAGAAAAAAATTGTCACTTACAAGGGAGCCCAGGGGAAGCCAGAAGGCAGTGGGAAAACATATCAAATAAAAATACTGTCAATCAAGAATCCTATATCCAGCAAAGCTATCTTAAAAAAAACAAAAAGAATTTGTTGCTAGCCAATTCATCTTACAGGAAATAATAAAGGAAGTTCTTCAGGTTGAAAGCAAGTGATCCCAGACAGTAACAGGAATCCACAAGAACAAAAGTGAAGGTAATTATGTAACATAAATGCATATTTTCTTAACTAATTTAAAATGCATTTTCATAAAAAGTATATGTGTATATATATGCATATATATTTGGGCCTGTAACATATAGAAATGTAATATATTTACCAATAACAGCACAAATGAGGTGAACGTGTGCAAAGCTGTAGTGGGCTGAGGAAATGACTATAGATGGTAAACTAATCATTATAACAATGCATTGCTGGGTTTGTAACATTAATAGAGGTAATATGTAGGCATTGTCTAGAGAATACTTTCATTAGATTTTATAATGAGAGTCTCAGATATTCTATAATTCGTTACACTCCCTGCCAAAAACACCCCCAAACCAAAAAATTCGATGTCACCCGAATATAGGGAAGCCTCTTCTTTTCTTTTGGTTACTTTTATTTGCTGCTCTGACAGCCAGGCTAAAAATGTGTTACTTCTTGGTCCATACTGGAATCCTGTGATTTCAGAAACCTGGACTGAGTTTCTGACAGTGAAAGTTAAGAACTAGGTTTTTTTTTCTTTTTAAATAAAAACAAGCGTAGCAACATAAAAGATACCTCAGAAAAGGAAAAACCTCACCCAGAATTCTACTACCTCGACACAATCATTTTTCATTGTATTTATGCCTTCCTGGCTTTATTCCACATTGTTTCATAGAGGTGTATCCATTTATATTTTTCTTTTTTTACTTGGTATTACATTGGCTACTTTAGCAAGCTTAATTATCATTCTTGATAGCATCACATGTATTCAGGGATATATGTTATTTTCTTGTGTCTCTCCCACCTGCCCACTCTATCTTCTAGTGTTGGACCTAGAAGGCTTGGAATTCAGACTTCCAGACTAAAAAAAAAAAACTGGAAAAAAACACAAAAAAGCAAAATCTTGAACTTTAGTAAAGTAATACAGGTGGCCTTGGACTTCACTGGTTTTAAACTTATATTTACATAATTTGAAATTGTTTATACATACAAGTATCATCTGAGTAAGATTTATAATGTAAAATGCTAATTACAAGTTTTGACTTATAGTCTATGAATCCACCATACTTTGCAGGTAATTTGGAAAAGAGTAGTACATTTAAAATTTTCGACTCAGATCCCCCTATATCCATAAATCTACCTGCTATCCTTACCTCTTCAATTCAATATATTGCCTTAAACAGTAATTTTGGAAAACAATTCAACTCTGAATTAGTATAATAACTGAAGTTTGAATTTTATCAGCAGATAAAATATCAGAGTAAAAAAAGCATTTCTCCCTATTTTTCTAATATAGGGATCTCATTTCTTAAAACACACATTAAAACTTTTCTCTAGATGTTACAATAGTATTATGCAAGTCAGCACATGGCCTACAAGAGGAAATGGAGTAAAATAATTTCAAGACCATCTGGCTTCTAATGAAAGGAAGTTTAACACCTTTTAGCTCACTGACGTTTATGAAGACTGTTCTTTTTTATTTTTTAACTCTAATGTCAAGTGATCGTTTCTAGGCTAAAGGTATTTGCTTCCTTCCTTAGCATTATTCATCCAAACACAATTCCAAATATCATATGAATAGTTCCCTTTTTGGTTACAGGACATTTGGGGTATACATTATTATTAGGAGGCAGCAATGTTATCACAGTATTTGAATATACTGCCTGTTTTAAACCAAAGCAATAAACCAAAAGCCCCATCCATCACCAATCAGTGGTAACTGCTTTGATACTTTATTCAACCTAATTGCTTATTCTTGGCATATTATATATAGTAAAGGTGCTGTTGAAGTAAACACTTGTTTATTTGACTATAGTTACCATCTTTACTGGGTTTTTAGACAACCAAATAGCTGTTACTGAGCATAGTAAAATAAATTAGTGTTAAATATACAAATCATTAATTTTGAGAAATGTGAAAGGCACAACATACCAATCTATCATTCAATGAATAACCAGCTGATAAGGAGGACTCTAGGGGCTATTTAAATAAAATTATAACACTGGAGAGCAAACAAGCTTACACTGTATTATACAATAGTTCAAAAGGTTATTAAAAAATTTCATTGGCATATTAGTCCAGATAAATTTGGTGAAGAGGAGATAGTACAACTGTTGACGATTAGATTGTAGGCTGGCAAAGTCACTTCTTTGGGTTTTCTCACAAGTAAAATACAGGGATTAGGCTATATCATGTCTAAAGCATTAAGATTTATGAGTTTATCTGGCTTTCCATAATACTTGTTCTTGAAAAGTTACTTTTTGGTCATATGAAATGTCTAAATGCACTAAGAATATTCTAAATTTACATGACAATGTCAGTTTATAATTTTAAAAATTCATTTTTTTATTAAGCTTTCTTAAAGTTAGCAACACCAGTAAATGCACAGAAATCAGGAGAAAAAAACGACTGTGATATATATTTTTGGGTAAGATGTAGAACTGGTATGTTTGAGTAAGTTAGAAGTCTGGAAAAGTGTGAAGATGATAAATGATTCAGGTTCTTACTGTTTTTTTGTACTTGTAAGATATGGCAGGAGTTAATGTATACTGCTGACCATTTTCCCAGAACTAGTGTTACCATTCAAATTGCACCATGTTTGGTATGCACAAGAGGCAAATATCAAAATAAGCTACCTGGGTCTACTCTAGCCAAGGTTCAAAAATGGTATGAGTGGGGCTGAGAGATTTTAATTTTACATTAGAAGAGGAAGGGATTATTTTAATCAATCAGTTCCATCTCTTCATTTCTAGTGAAGAAACTGGTGGTCCAGAGAAGTAACCTGCCAATGTCAGAGTTAAATAGCGTCAGCTGAGAAAACCCCAGATCTGATTGCCAATTCTTCTACACAATACTGTCTTCTAATGCCACAGGGCAAGTGATGCTGAGTAGGCAGAAGTCTAAATGAAATATAAAATCTTAGAGATCTTATAGTCCCTCAAGTTCAACTTTTTTTTTTTTTTTAATTTGGAAACAGTCATGGTCATTGGTTACATGTTGCTTTCATGCTACAATGGCATAGTTGACTCTTTTAGGGAGGGCGCAGCCCACAGTGGCCCATGTGGGGATCGAACCAGCAACCTTGGTGTTATCAGCACCACACTCTGAGCTAACCAGTCACCCCCTCAATTTCTCATTTTAATCTGGAATTTCTTCTGTAGCATCGTGACAAATGTCATTCAGCTTCTGCTCTGCTCCAGTAGTAAGATAGTCATTAATCCTTAGGAGGTGACTGCTTTCCTTGATGGACAAATAACCCATAAAGTCCTTTCCTACATTGAGCTCTTATCTGTCATTTTGCATTTTCACTTCAGTCTACTTTGAGGGTCAAAAAGAATAAATTGTACATGCTTCTCAAATATTTGAAGACAGCTATCATTCTTTAGTAACATAATCCTTAGTTTTTGGGTTTCAGTTTATGGGACTCTAACTTGGTAAAATACCCCAGGATTTGTTCTCATTTATGAACACCCTTTCACTGCATACTGAAATGAAAGTTGCAGATGTGGTTTGATCAGCATTTATATACAGAGGGTGCCAAAAAAATGTATACACATTTTAAGAAAGGAAAAAGCTATTACAATTGTAACACTCAATATATACTGGTAACAAAAGATGAACACAAGTCACATTTGACTTCTGCAATTACAAGAGGTGCTCAAAGTGGTTCCCATCAGCGTCCAGACACTTCAGGTTATGGCGAACTGCTGCTTGGGCAACGTTGACCAAAGTGTCCACTTGTGTAAATTTTTTTGACACCCCCGGTAGATTGTTTTTCCACGATGAATTTTTCTGCACCCTAAGATTATATCAGTTTCTAAACAGTCAGCTTATGTGTTATTTGTAGCAAGTTAAAATCTCCAGATTTGTCTGCAAACTCTTGATACATTCGTTTCTAGCAGTGGCTTTCTATTGCTTCTAGGATAGAGATCAGGGTCTATGATACCACGTATGATTGTGCCCCTAACTAGCTTGCTAGCGTCATCTCTATGCTATCCTTTCCCCTTGACCTCTGACTAGTCTTCTCAATTCCAAATGCATCATCCTTCCTCTAGGCTTCCATATATTGTTCCCCTCAGCCAGGAATGTTTTTCCTGGGCCACCCAGGTCTTGTCATTTCTTAGTCATCTTTCAAAGCTCAGTTCAAATACTACTTCATGGGAGTCTTCCTTGCCCTTCTCCCCATGCTCCCCTCCCAGGAGAACCTTTTACCTATACTATCATCCCACTACTCTCCTTCAGCCCTTACTGAATAGTAATCCCTGTGCAATGAGGTGTCTGCCTCCTCAGCTACTCTGTGAAGTCGATGAGGACATGGTTAATGTCTGTCTTTATCGGGCATTGGGTTTTGCAAGATTTAGACATTTAATAAATATTTGCTGAGTGAACACGGAATTAGTATGATCAATATTGTGATTTCCCCAGGTAATCAAAGAAAACACTTAGCTAAACTCTAGGGTTTATGTTGTACAAAGAAGGAATCACATAGGTTCCAAGACAATCTTGAGAAGGAAAAACCTCTCCAAAAGAAAAAAAGTGATAAATTTAGAAAACTATAGAAATATGTTCTATTAAGCTGAATGTTATATTTTTTCACTCTTTATAGTAGGAGGTGGGGAGCATGGAAAAAGGCAAACAAGCACAGCTGAGTGGTATATTTGTTGTTTTACTGTTAGTTTGACACATCTGAACCAAAGCATTCACAATACTTGATATACTTTGAAGAGAATCATATACTATAGTCTTAGACATAACCACAGAACAAGCAGAACAATTAAACTACATAAGGCCTTAAAATATATCCACAGTGTGTATTATTTCAATGTTCATTCATTTACAAATTAGACTACATACCGTTAATTTAATTTTTATTTTTCTTTCATTGTTTTATTCAGGCAAGATTCATTCAAGGAAAGGCAACTTAGTTTTGTGTGTGAACTTTATTTTTTACTACATTGGTTATTATAAAAGTTATGAATTAAATGTTTTCTTAGCTCCTGCATCCAGGAGTGAATCCATGAATTTCTCAGATAGTAATCCAAAACAATAGGTCCTATTCTTAAAAATAGCCAAAGAGGAAAGGGACGAAAGCCAGTCTGTTTGTGGTCTTGAAGAACATATAATGGACTTTCAGGTTGTCTTCTATCGAAGAGAACTGCAATTGTATGAGATTAGTCAAAATTTAAAACAACATTGCATACAAAATCATTCTTGAAGCTCTAAATGCCTTTTAAATAACTAAAATAAAAATTTTAAGTAGTTGCCTCACAGTACCAAACTTATAAATCAAAACTAGTTAAAATTCAGTGCTATTATGACTTCTCATTTACAAGGTAACTAGTTGGTAAATTAACAGATAGCATAAAAATTAAGACTTACATCATTTTTTTTTTGTAAAGGAGAAAATGTATGATAACCAGGAAATACAGAAAATTCAATGTATTTTACAATAAAATCACCGTTTAAACCTCTATCCCTGTACAACAGGGTTTAGGTAATCTCTAATGAACTTGTGTGTTTTCTTACAGTTTATTCTATTATGAGTACTTGAATTATTTTAGATATACAGCTTTTTATCGAAAGAATATTACATTTGTATACCAGGATATTTAGTACATTGAGATGTTTTAAAAATATTTATAAATTTGTTTCTCATATGCAAAAGCATTTGGCAATACTTTTACAGCATCTGATTTTACAGAATTAAAATTCCATACAGTACTCATCTTGATGTTTAAAAAAAAAAATTCACAGAAAAAATATAAATTACACAGCCTGACTGCATGATACTGTTATTTCCAGTTCTAGTTCTGGTAATTAAAACCTTCATTAAGTCTGTTAACAAATCATTACCTGTACATTTATGAAGGCAACTGACATGATTTGCAAACAAAACCTTCAGGTTTTATGTTATTTACCAAAGAGTGCAGTTCAGCAAAAGAAAACTCGGTATGCAAATTTACAGAATACTTTACAAATTTACCAGTTCCTGAGACACAAACTGTTTCAACCTTTCAAGGTACTGTCCATAAAGTTCCACGTCATTGTGACCGGCCCCTTCAACCCACAGAGGCTCCACAGGTCTTTGGCAGCGCTCAAACAACGCGAGGCCATGGGAAAAGTCAATAACTTCATCTTCAGTCCCGTGAATTATTAATACTGGAGAGGTTATCTTAGAGATTTTGTCAATGCTGTTGGGAAAGAGGAGGGGAGTGGAAATCAATGAATTAACTAGGAAAAGGAACATGAAACAATTTTCTTGTGCTGTGTCAGAGAGAGAATTCCAACGTAGAGCTTTCTTTGCATCGAGCCAGGAGGGATGGATGCCCCTTGGATTTCAAATAAGCCTCAAAAGTCCCCTTACATATTCTTCCTTAAGCCTATCTAAGGAAGTCAACTTCATGTGCTTCTGTTCTGAGGCAATCACTCAATGGTTACCGTCACCCTACTCCAACTTTCTACAATGTTGATGCTTCGCACAGAGAAACGTAGGTTGCAAGTAGAGGAGGCAACTAAGGATCATTTCAAGTAGGTGCTTAAGTTCATTCCTCTCTGCACTCAAATGACAGCAAAATGTTTTTCTGTTTTTGTTTTAGGGTGCTAACTCACAAAAATAGAGTGAATGTAGTAAAACATAAAATTTTGGAGCTGAAAAACAGATAGGAGAAAACACAATTTGAAGAAGATAGAAGGTAAAGTGAAGAACCGACCCAATTTATACAATGGAATACCCTAGGAGGCTGGGAAATGACAGCAGGATGAAGGGGGTGATTGAAATCTTCGAATTTGTTTCAAGTCTGTTTAAGAAACAGTTTAGGTCCCTCTCCCCCAGGTTCTTTCCCCTTCTTTTGGCAGCTAGGTAATTGCTCTCTACCCAAAACTGGCCGGTTTATGAACTAGGAGATTGGCAGACACAGTTTAGGGCAGACATATGCATACTGGCTGCTGTGAGCCTTTTTTCCCCATTGGGCTTCCAGAATACTGGCAGCCAGGCCTTCAGCCACCAAGGGGAGTTTCAGAAAGTCTTCTTTGGAGGCTGCATCCACTTTAAGAGGAAAGATATATAAATATTGACATGGGAGAGGGGTGGGGATTCCCAGCTAACTGACTTGATCAGATCATTCTATAGTGAAGTTCACAGCCCATAAGCCTTAACCACTTGCTTCAGATCAGCACTTTCATCCCTCGTTCTTACTATAAGCAGACAACCAAGAATTATCAGACATCAAAAGAGAACACTAAATACAGGACAGAGATCAAAACAATCAGAATTTAAAAAAAGGCAACCCAAAGGAACATTAACTACATGGAGATTTAAGAAATCTTACAAACAAATAACTCTTTTAAAAAACCTATAGAAAGGGCCGGCCGAGTGGCGCATTGGTTAAGAGCTGGCTTGGGATGCCAGAGGGCGCCGGTTTGGATCCCACATATGAGGGCCAGTGACACTGTCCTCCACAGCTAAGATGCTGAACAACAGCTCAACCTGGAGCTGGGCTGCCATGAGTCTATGGCGAAGGCATAGGCTGCAGCCCCTGTGGTAGTGGGTTGCCATGGGCTACCCTGTGTAGCCAGCAGCCAGCGTGAGCGGCCAGCAGCCGCAGTGAGCGGCCGTCCAGACGCCGGCGACTGAATCTGCCTCGCCAGGGAAGAGCGCAATGATGGTGCCAACTTGGACCAGTGAAGCAACGTCCTCCACAACTAGACTGAAGAACAAAAAGACAGCACCTTGTCTGCTCCCCTTCCCCCGATTCCCCAGCGCTGTTCCCATCCCCCCAATTCCCGAATAAAAATATTTAAAAAAAAAAACCCATAGAGAGATAAACCATTATAACTACAAAATGAGGACAGAATCTTGAAAAGGAGAAAAATCAATGAAGTAATTCAAGGCTGCATTTGATAAGGAAAATTGTTTGGGTATATTATTTGTTGTTAAATGTTCAATACTAAAGGAATTAGAACAAAAAATAAAAAGAAATGTATAATCTTTTTCAAACAGTTTACTGTTAGTGCTGTCCTCCCCGTTGGCGTAATAATGAAAGAGGGAGCTAGACAGAGGTGAGTTTTCTGGCGACAGCAGTACCCCAAATACCTCCCCATCATCCCTACTATTCAGCTAGACAGAAGCAGTATAATGCACATACCTTCCAATCACCATTATCTAAAATAAAAACAAACCCAAAATGTAGAAATGAGAACTCTCTGCTCCCCCGCCTCGCGCTTGCCCTTGTGATGAGATCATATGCTTCCATACGTTTCTCTATGAAGTGAACCCTTACTGGCTCATGATGAAAAAAATATGTTTTGGAAATGACCCTTGCTGTTCTTATAAAGAACCAAGTGATGAGTTGGCCTTTGGCGAATCTATCACTCACAAAAAATCCTTTGTGTTGTTGCCAACTAGGGAAAGAAAATAAAACTGAAATTTGCCAGCTTCTCACTTCTTGCCTTCTCCCTTTGAGAAAAATAGGCCACCAATTTTCTCCAGCTATGAAGAGGAAGTGGTGGGAACTACCATCCTGTCTTCAGAAGCAGCGGGAGAAACAGCCCTTTTTACAAATTTGCCTAACACCACATTTGCAGACTTTGTGGCAGCAACTTATTCCAGTTCATTTAAGACTCAACTTGTTTTGCATTTCACTTCTTTTGTCAGTCAGATAGCATTAGAATCATCCACTCATTTTTATGCACACGTGTCTCATTCTCCCTCCACTTGTTTCTTTCCTCCAGTATTATGTGTCTCACTGAATGGCACCATCATCACCCATTAGCAGCCTGAGTCAGAAACCTGGGAATTACGTTCAAGTTGTTTTATTTAGCCTCCTATATCCAGTCTGATATCCAGTTCTGTCAATTTCATTTCTCAAATTCATTCTCGTCTCTAATACTAGTGCCGCTGTCTTGGGTAAAAGGCCCTCAGCACTCTTTACCCAGATCACTATTGTTCAAACATCTCAGCCTCCTGACTGGTGTACTGCCACCACCCTCTTCACACGTTAGTTTTTCACCATTTCTATAATATATGGAAAATAGAAGCAGCTCACCGCTGGGTGAGTTGTATCAGGAATACCTTAAGTGATGAAATAAAATTCCCTCAAAAGTTTCTTTGAATTAAAGTGTTTTGAATATTGATACTTACTTTGGGAATGCATCAAAACAATAGGTCTTCTTGGTATCAGGAAAAGCAACTCGCATTCCCGAGGTCAGGGGAGAATGAAGAATCACAGCAGCACTCTCGTATCGAGCAGCAAGGTCCACAGATGGTACTGTTCCTATACTTTGGCCATAGATTATCACATTTTCAGGGCGAATGCCATATCTACAAAGTCCAGTTAAAAAAAAAAAAAAGAGTTGGGCTGGCATGAAATATTCAATCATTCCTAAGGACTTACTTAATTTTATAACAGAATGACTTAGAAAGATACAACATCAACAAATTTATATCGAAAATGTAAGTTTCTTAGTCGTCACTATCATATTTAATGCTATAGTAAGATCTATTTTCTTAGCTTATTTCATTTGTTTCAATTTCATTTTTTGGAAACATAACTGCTGAGGTCTTTTAAAATTTCAATCTTAAAAATGGATTTAATTAAACCATTTATGTAATTCAATGTAGCGTATTGTTGACTAAATTTGGAACATATATCACTAATGGATTGATGTTTAAGTGTTTATTTTCCATTTAATGTAACAAAAGTTCTTTATTTCTCTAAACATCAAAAGTGGCTTATTTTATTTTCTGAAGTTGGTCATAGTAATGAAAGTGTGGCATAGGTACAGTGTGGAATGAATAAAATATTTGTATCATATTAGGCAAGAGCAAATTACTATTATTTCTTGAAATTTGCCTTTATTTACCGTACAAATGGACTAATGATTAAAAAAGTAAACAGAAGAATGAGAATTCCAAACGCCAAATGATTCAGTTAATTATGAATACACATCATGAATGGACTTCTCAAAAGTGTTGCTTCACTCCCTTTAAAAATGCCTCAGATTTAAATTCCTTAAACTCACTGACTCAATAATATTGGATACATACTATGTTACAGGCACTATTATTTGTCTACAGTATAATTGCCCCAACTGTAAACTGCTGCAAGTTTAAGTGAGATGCTACAAGTGCTAACAAATGTGGGGTTAAGGGTTAGAATAACGTCAAATATGCTTTTCCACTTAGAAGTCCGGCAGTAGTTACTTTTGGCTTCTAAGGGCCATTTGCACAACAGCTTCTAATCTTCTGAAAACGAGATAGAGCTTTCCAAATTATCTGAACATTTACCAGGAAAAAGCAAGATAAACCCCATGTGCTCCCCATGGCCCTTTCCAGGGGCACAGGACTATTACAATTATCAGGATAGTGACATACCTTCCCATAGTATCTCCCAATCAAGCATTTGGATATGTCCCAGAAACTGGGTTCCATTTACTTCAGACTGTAATGTAAGTAAACTCAGAAAAGCCTTTTTCTTTAAATAGACCTAGCTGTATAGGAATGAAAAAATTAGGAAAATGAACATTTGCAGCGTCAGCATAACCATTGAGGTTACACAGTTGCTGTTAGCTGAATAGCAGCACTGTTGGTGGCAACTATGGATTTTAGGCTAAAGCTAGTCATGGCAAGCCTCCAGCGCAGCAGAGGCAGCTGCCAATTTAGCATCAGAGGACTCAAAGCAATAACAGAATTTCAGAATAGTACAAGTTAGAAAGGACTTTAGAGACCATCTAATCTAGTTCAGCTGCTTACTGAGCAGATGTTCAAAGTCAGAGTAAGTTAGTGACAGACATATAATTAGAACCCAGGTATCCTGACTCATAGTCTAGTGCTGTTTCCATTATAGCACAAACATAATGATTTCAAAGGCTGCAGGGAAGGCTGCATAGTGAATATTGGTCCCTTATTTTCTGTTGATCAATCAGAAGTTCAGAAACTGGGATTATTATAGATTACTCTGAAAAGGAGATCATTCAAATAATAATTACTTAAGTTTATTATTTATTTTCCCCCACCTGGTTATTTAAGCCCTAAACCAAATAAAGGAAATAAAAGTCACAAATTCTGATTACATTTTATCAGATGATAGAGTTCCAGAACTGGAAAGGATCTTAGGGATCATTTAAGCCAACTTCTTCATTAGCCAGACGAGGAAACAGACTCAGAGAAGTTAAATAAATTTCCTAAGACTACCTATGCTTAACTAACTCTTCTAACCATATTTAGGGTTCAACATGAGAAAAAATATAAATGTGAAATTTGATGCCAACTAAACTGGTATGAGACTACTTAGGAATTATCTATTCTGCCTTTGTACCTCATTCATACTGGTCATCACAAGTGTGTATAAAAAGATTAATTAACCAAGATTAGAAATTTTAGAATGTTTCCTTCAAAGTGATAGCTGGCAAGATTAAAAAAGAAAAAATACTTAAGCTGACCATTTACAATGGTTTTTGTTTATATAAACATAGAACGCTGAACTGTATACTAATGTTTTATATGAATGAAGTTATCCTTTTGTGTTACTTAGAAGTACTAATGAAGGCTATCTGCTTTAACTTAACATCCTTAAAAACTACACTAATTCACTGAAGTTATGCTTTAAGAGTGAATTATGGTATATAAATTATGTCACAATAAATCTGTTATTAAAAAAATATCCCACTTTCCTGACAGTTACTATACTACAACTACATTCAACTGGGCACTCATTTGTGTTTCTTCGTTTGTAGGCCTAAGGCAACTGACAGCAGTATACGGGGAGCAGATTTTGACTTTGGCCATTTAAGGTGGTTTTTAAGTTTATATTTTTTAACATTCCGCACCCCTCCTTTTACCTTCCCAAGCTCCTTACCAACTACTTCTATTACTTACCATCTATTTTTCTTCTTACTCATCAGATATATGGTTTTGTATCTTTTCAATTGATTCAAGAATCCCCTTTATACAGAGCTTTGCTATGAGAGTTTAGTTTTATTATATATCTTGGAGGGGTAAATGGTTCTAAACACAATTTCTAAAAAAGGTTACGCCTACTAACAAAATTGAGGAGGTTCTTAACTAACCGAAACCACTAATATTTACACATTAAATTAGAAATGGTAAGTTTTCTTTATGTCCTTTAGCTTTCGTCTAAAATACTCTGGAAGTCAGGCAGCTTATCAATGTATAATATAAAGAATAACTTGTACTAAGATATCTTTCTATTTATTGTACACTGTCTGATGAGAAAATAGTCAATTCTACAAAATTTCATTATTTTTCAAGAAAATCTGACATATCCTGATGACTAGAAAAGATTAATTCACTTTCTAGTTCTTCAAAATGTATCATTATAATCAAAGAATAACTGATGTAGTAAGAGGTTTTACTAAAATGGTTTGTCATAACATTATTTTCACTTGAGATCATCTCTCCAAATTTTGAGTCCAGAGCGTAAAGTAAAATCTCCATTTTACAGAATGAACTTTAAAAATAGTTCTAACATGGCATCTTTAGGTCACACCTTCAAGGAGATAATTATATAAAACCATCCAAACACTGCTTTAGGGTTTTAACAAAAACAATTCAGCCTCTTACATGGTTCATGATAGATCAAGTGAATGATTTAACTAGCTAAATCACTGTTTTCTCTCATTCCCTTGAAATGTTGCAACTCTGAATAAACATGTTTATCATACTCTCAACAAGTTTATAAAACCAAACATTTGTCACTGGCTTAAATTTTTAAGAAAATGACACACACACCCACACTAACACAGACACAAAAACGTGACCCGAATTAAAAATTTTTATGTCGTTATATAAAAATTTTAAATTATAATCTAAGTTTAACTCTTCATTGGTATATAATGGCAAATATAATCTTTATTTAGTATTTCAAAACGTGTTATAAAAAAGCTTTCATTCTATACTTATACATAACATTTTAGAAAATAATTCCCAACTACTATTTACCTTGTCCTAAGAGCAAGCCAAGCAGCTTCTATGTCGGCATAGAGGTTCTTCTCCGTTGGTTTCCCAGAACTTGCACCATATCCAGAATAATCATATGAGAATATATTACAGTTAATCCGTGATCCCAGTCCTATGTAAAAGCTGCTCATCTGACCGAGATCAACAGCATTTCCATGTGAGAAGAGTAAAGTGTATTTGGCATTGGGGGAGCAACGCACAAACATGCAGGCAATTCTGTTGCCTTTACTGGTTCTAGTCATGAAACACTCAATAGCATCTTTTTCTCTAGAAGAGTACTGCCAGTCTGCTCGTTCCGATAGGTGTAAAGTCCAGCGGCTTCCACTTTCATCACACATTAGCGTGTAAGTTGGATCAGGTGGCAAAAATGCTAATTTTGAAGCAATTTTCCCTGGACAAGGTGGACAGCAGAAGAGGCAACACAGCTCACTAAATGAAAGATTATTCATCTTCTGAAAAAGAAAAGGAGATAGAAAACGTTTTAATCAGAGAATGTGAATTTTGCATTCTCATACAATAGAAGGTTTAAAACAAAGACACCAGTGGTCAGTGTCTCCTACTGTTGTTTCAAGTATCATTCCCTCAAACAGATTTTTGGGATCTTCCTAGAAATACTGTAAATCCTGGGATGAGGCAGTATTTCTGACTAGGAGAGAGACTCAAATACTATACAATATGTTTCAAATAGCAGTGATTATACCTTATAGTATTTAACCAAAATATGAAAAACAGTACAAAGAGGAGAGGTAATATTTGTTTTTTTCTCTACAAATAACATAGAAATGTGAAATATCTTTAGTTTATAATTTCTGTGCAACTCAGTGAAAATTCTCAGAACCTCATGGAGAAGTTCGGGATTTAACATATATAAATCTATAGTGATAGCACTTAGGAAGCATTTACTATTTGTCAGGCACTGTGCTAAGTGTTCTGTGCATATTTCTATGTTTAATCCTCAAAACGTCTCTGTATGTTGGTCTGAGAGAAGAAACTTGCACAAGGTAAGGCAGTGGTGGAGCCAGAATTTGACACCAGGCCCCATCACTGTCCTACATCATGGGGGGGCACAGCCAAGGGCTCAGGGCATTATTTGTACCAGAAGCTTATCATTTTAGCGTTAGTGCCAAAGGCCCAAACAACCTATAAAACATTAAAATGTATGTACTCACTGGCCAAATTAAAAAGGCTATAATATAAAGTCCATTATAGTAAAAGGTTAAATTTGGTAAAGGTAAAATTTTTCTAAATGATTAGATGGGAAGAAACAAAGGTGTGTAGTCAGAAAGGGAGGTAGAATCCCGACTCTACTGTTTACTAGCTGTGTTTCCTTCGGCAAATTATTTACCTTTTTGACCTTCACTGTCTTAAATGGGGCCAATGCCTATACTGAACAGAGTGCGGTTGAGAACAAATACAATGATATAGTTAAGGCATGTAATACAGTAATGGCCCCCTCTCCAAGAATCTACCTCATATTAACTTGTTTGCCCTATCAGCATTTTCTTCTATCTTGTCTTTCTCAAATGCCTATCTTCTCTTAGCTGTAGTAGCCCTTTGCTTAGTTCTAGAAAGAAGGAATTCAAAACAAACACCTTCCATGGGTTTGGTGGCACCTAATTTTCTCCAAAAAAATCTAAATACAAGGATAGGAAAAAATGTACATTATACCAAACAATGAGAAGAAATCAACTCAGAAATGACTAGAGGCAAAAATACTGGGAAAGAAACGAATGCCTTTTTCACTTACTACTGAATCAAAATCTAGTCTGTATTGTCCAATACAAATATGTTGAGTCCTTACTGTCAACTAATTGAGTAGAAAGAAGCAGCAGAAACAGCACAGAGAAAAAAGCATAGGAGCAACATAAAAGGCTTTAAAAGATGAGTAAGAGAAGGACAGAAAAGTGTCGCTTAGACATTGGGAAACATTTTACTTGCCATTCTACCTTTATTCCTTTTCAGCCTTCAAAGCAAATATAACCTGAATACATTAATGTCTTAGTCTGGATTAGGGGTCAGCAAACTGCAGCTCGCAAACCACATGTAGCTCTTTGGGTATGTACATGTGGCTCTGAAGTAAAATTGAAAATGAAAATAAAACTATCAGTTTCATTTATAAAATGTTTAAAGGATATTATTCACATAATGGTTATTTCATTTGTTTTATGGCTCTCAAATAATTTTTAAATTGTTGTGAGGAACAGGATTGGCTCTTCCATCTCAAACTTTTGCCGATCCCTGGTCTGGATGGAACAAAAGTCAAGACAGAAATGACAACCAGGTGTCATCTCTAGCGCTAACTCTAATTCTAGTGCTAACTCTGAAATGCTGTGCTGAGAAGGATTCTGAGGGCATGTCCAGGGCTTGGCTGGCAAAGACTATGCGATAAACTGGCAATGTGTACTACAGAATTTGGCTACAAATTTATTATTATGGTCAGGAGGATAAAGGACCTGGTGAAAAAATGACAGGGAAGGGAGATCAAAGGGTCAGTTGCAGAGAAAGAGGTGACTTGGTCAAAAGAAGATGAGGTAGAAGGTAAAATACAGCAATGCTATCTGTTTAATAATCTGCCTGAGGTTAATTCTTGCCCCCAATACCCTACATGCCATCAACTGGTGCCCCACAACAGCCTATTAAAAGCTTGATTAATAAGTAAACTGTATATAGCTAGGCTATGTTCCTATAATTTAGCTCTTGAATGTGAAGACTTTTATATACTATAATAAAGTAATTTTGAAATAAACCTGGCTGACTGAGCACATATAATGCTGCAGAGATGCTTCTGGAGATGAACACCAAGGGTGAGAAAGCAGCACACATGAGAAAAGCTGCAGTGCTAGGGTCTGGTCTAATGAAAAGACACCCTGACTTTCTTAATGGTGATAGAAGGAATTATTCCCACCACCACTACGTCAAACTGAGATAACCAGTGTCCATTTAATAACAAAAACTTGCAAATTATTGTCGTCCTAATAATAATAGGCCTGGTATACAGCAGCAACATAGACTTGCTTAAAAAGTTACTCCTTCCTTTTCTGTAAGTAGGAAAAATTTCATAATAAAAGTATAATAAAGCCAATAATCCTAAATTTCAGTATGATCAGAGTTGAGAAAGTAACGGAGAAAACATTTTATTCTTGATAAAAAAAATTAAAAATCATTGAAGTACCTTGTTAAATTTAGATTGTCCAATTGGTTTTATATAAAACTCAACTGAATAAAAATGCCATTTACTGGTTTTTCTTGGCAACAAAATCTTCAAGAGATAAGGCAGTGAAGAACTGTAGGGGGGAAAATGGTAGACATCTCAGAGTACACAAAAGCCATAAAAGACAGACAACAAACTGAGTAAGTTATAGAATTTTTGAACCAGGAACAAGGGTTTAAAATAAGTTATAATAAACCTGTAAAAAGAGAGAAAAAGAATGAATACTTAATGATGATGTGGAAACAAATGTCAAAGAAAAATCCAACTAGAATCCCTCATATAAAAAAAAAAATCAGTACCTGAATTAAAGAATTAAACTGGTTGTATGAGAATTAGTAACTGCTGAAGAACATGTTAGTGAGTTGGAAGATCACGCTGAGGAATTCCCAAATATGGAATTTTTCAGGGAGAGAGGAGCCAAGAGATACAAAATATAAAATAAAATTTAGGGAGGATAAAAATACAAATACCATTATCAGTCCCATAGGAGTCGCAGGAAAAAAATAGGAGAAAATTAAGATAATCTAAGAATTTCTCAGAGTTAAAGAAAGTTCAGATTGAAATAGTTTAGAGTGCCAAATAGATACGTAAGAACAAATTAAACCTACAAAGGAACAAGAATCAGATGAACATGACTTTTAATAGCAATACACTGGGGGGTAATAATAAAGTAAGGAAAAAAATAAACTTTGAACCTAGAATTTTACATAGTGATAAAACACCATTTTATTTTATTTTTTAAAGATTTTTATTGAGGAATTGGGAGAGAGGAACAGCGTTGGGAAATCAGGGAAGGGGAACAGACAAGTTGCTGTCCTTTTTTTTCTTCAGTCCAGTTGTGGAGGACGTTGCTTCACTGGCCCATGTTGGTATTATCATTGCGCTCTTCCTGGGTGAGGCAGTTGCTCACCGGCCATTGGACAGCCACTCACAGCGGCTCATGGCCACTCACGAAAGCTCATGCCAGCAGCCGGCCAGTCCCACTGCAGACTATGCCGTCGCCAGCGACTCATGGCAGCCCAGCTCCAGGTTGAGCTGTTGTTCACCATCTTAGCTGTAGAGGGCAGCGTCACTGGCCCTCATGTGGGATCTGAACCGGGGCCCTGCTGCTCAGAGCTGGCGTCCCCAGCCAACTCTTAACCAAGGTGCCACTCAGCTGGCCCATAAAACACCATTTTAATATGAGGATAAAATAAAAATATCTGCAGGCATACAAGATATTTTTATCAAACCAAGACCCTCTTTGAAACAGTCCAGCAAGGAGGAAAATGAATCTTCAAAGTCATTGAATTGTCTTTTTTTTTTTAAATTGGGGAACAGCCATGGTCACTGGTTACACATAGCTTTCATGCTACAATGGCGTAGATGACTCTTTTAGGGAGAGCGCAGCTCACAGTGGCCCATGTGGGGATTGAACCGGCAACCTCAATGTTATCAGCATGACACTCTAACCAACTGAGCTAACCTGTCACTCCTGAAATATCTTTTAAATTTGGATAATTTTAAGTCTAATTTTATATGAAACTCACCTGAATAAAAATGCCAGAAAGTTACCAAACCAAGACTCTCTTCGAAATATTCCAGCAAGGAGGAAAATAAATCTTAGAAGATTCCATGACTATATCTGAGCTATGACAAATAAAGGAAATGTTAATATGTATTTTTTCTGTAAGTACGCAATGGAGACGGGGCGGGGGAAATGGTACCAAAGCATATCTCTAACAATCCAAAATCAAAACTTTGGAGAATGCTAATGTAGAGAGGACTGGAAAAAGAGTTAGAGAGTATTTAAGAAGTGAAAATGTGCTGGGGCACCAGTCACTTGACTTGTTCAGACTATTACTGTTGATAAGCTTGAGACATAGAAGAAAAACATGAATGTAAGTATGACTCAGATATAACCACCATAAAAATTATAGTTTGTATGACGTCTTAAGTATAGTTATTCATTACAAATTCTAGCTTTGAATATTTATTAGCATGTTAAACTCAAAAAGGAGAGTAGGCACAAAGAAATAAGAAAAAAGAAACTAAGGCCGATATCAACGATAGAGAACAAAAAGTAATAGAGAAATTAACGGACCCACCAAAAGCTGAGTCTCAGGAAAGGCTTCCACTACTACCAATAGCAACTAGGATTCACTCATTTAATCCTTTTAACAGCCCTCTGACATACAGTTTATCATTATACCGTTAGAGGAAACAGGCACAGAGTAGCTATGTAACCTGCCAAATCTACTGATAAGTGGTGGAAATCCCAAGTGGTAGGATGACTGGAGCCTGAACTCCTAACCACTGTTTTGTGGAAAGAGTGCTCAGACAAGACCGATCAAGAGAAAAGCAAAATACAAACCACTAAATGAAAAAGACAGACCTGCATAGTTAAAAAAAAGTGTCAATAAATTAAATTACTTTGATGAAATGTATGAATTTCTTAGGTAATAAAAAAGGACAACCAAAAAAACCCGATTAAAAAATGGACAAAGAACCTGAATAGACATTTCCCCCAAAATTTGCAAATGGCTAGTAAGCACATGAAAAGATGCTCAACATGATTAGTCATTAGGAAATCAAAACCACAATGACACCACTTCATACCCACTAGCATAGCTATAGTCAAAATGACAGATCATATCAAGGGTTGACATGGATCTGGGGAAATTGGAACCTGTTGGTGGGAAGCAAAATGTGGCAACTAATTTGTAAAACAGTTTTATCAGTTCCTTAAAAACTTAAACACAGTTACCATTTGATCAAGCAAGTCCACTTCTAAGTATACACCCAAGAGAAATGAAAATATATGTCCACACAAAAACTTGCACATGAAACGTTCACAGTATAATTCACAATATCCAAAATAACCACCAAGGGGCTGGCGGAGTGGCTCAGTTGGTTAAGAGCTCTCTCAAGAGTTTGAGCTCTGAGCAACAGCAGTTCAAGTCCCAGCCCAAGCTGAGCAGCCACTGAGCTGCCAACAGGTGGCAGGATGGCTCAGCTAAAAAAAAACAAAAACAAAAACAAAACACAAAATAACCACCAAATGTCCATCAATTGATGAATAAATAAAAATATTATATCCATACAATGAGATATTATTCAGCCATAAAAAGGAACAGGTACTGATGCATGCTACAAAAGGGTGAATCTTGAAAAAATTATGCTAAGTGAAAGAAACCCGTCACAAAAGATCATTTATTATATGAGTCCATTTATATGCAATGTACAGAATAGGCAAATTTATACAGACAAAAATAGATTAGTGGTTCCAGGGTTATGGGGGTTGGGAAGCAATGGCTAAAGAGTATGGGGTTTCTTTTGGGGTAAGAAAAATGTTCTAAAATTGATTTGGGTGGTGGCTGCACAATTCTATTAATATTATATTAACAACCATCGAATTGCACATTTTATTTTTTATTTTTAAAAATTTTTATTAGTTTCAGGTGAAATTGCACATTTTAAAGGAGTACACTGTATAATATGTGAATTATGTAATATGTGAATAAATTATATAATATGTGAATATGTAATAAAGCAGAAAAAATAAAGTCTTTGGAAAGCTAAGATAACTGTGCAAAGAAAGACATACTCATGTATTGGGTTGTCAGAAAAGTCATGACGCATTTTTACAATGAAAAACATAGAAAAAACATGTCATGACTTTTCCGACAACTCAGTATTTGTTGGGTAGCTGGGAATTTTCCCTCCCAGGTATTTGACTGCACAAAGACAAAGTAATAAAGACAGACTGGTGCTGGCACAGAAACAAACAAACCTAGTAACAGGAGACAGAGCTTACAAACAGACCTATGTATAAATGAGAATCTCCTATGACATAGCTGATTTCTCAAAGCTACAGGAAAGGATGGATCCTTGAGAAGATGGTCCTAGGCATCTAAGACATAGGCAAAGTGCTTGGATCCCTACCTCTCAGGATGTACAATATAAACCCCAGAGGGGCTATAGACCTAAAAGACAAAACTAATAATAACTTTAAAAAAATCCACAGAAGATAAAACACTGGTATATTTAACTTCATTTAAATAAAGGATTTCTAATTCAGTGAAAAAACATATGGGAAAAATGATTTGTTTCTTCATTCACAACTGTCAGAGGGATATGATAATAAGGAAGTTCTGCAAAAACAAGAAAAAACAGACAACTCAAGAGAACAGATGGGCAAAAGATACGAATGAGATTTACAGATGGATAAACAAGGCTAACAAGTATATGAAGAAAGGTACTCTCCCAACTATTGGAGAAATGCAAGAAATATCACTTCAACACTTTAAGAAAAATGAAAATTAGAAAACTGAGTAATATCAAGTATTGGTGAGAATGGGGGTGACGGGACGGGACAGGAACTTGTGAACTGCTTAGTAAGCCATTTTGTCTACCTATGACCCAGAATCCCACTCTTGGGATTAAGTACTCTAAAGAAATACTTGCATAAGCCTCAAAGTAACATACACCAGGGTGCTCACTGCAGCAATATTTATATCAAGGTGTAGGAAGCAACACAGATTTCATCACTGGTGAAATTAGTGTAAATATGTTGGATACAGACAATGGAATATTATGCAGAGTCAGAAGTAGTGACTTTGATAGCTAGAGCTTAAAAATGTACTAGGTGAAAAAAGTAAGGAATAAACAGGTCTATGCTACCATTAATATAAATTAAAAACACATAAATATAATGTATCTCCAAGGACAAATATCTAAGGACATGCATATCTGAGTAGATGTTTATGGAGGCGGAAAGGAGGTTGAAGGGAAAAATTGAAAATTTAGTAAAATAAGGGCAGGGCCTATGCTCATAGATCGATGATGATAATGTGCCAGGAACTAGTCTATAAGTTCCAGGGGGCAAAATCACATCTGCTTGCTTACCACTGGACCCCTAGTGCCAAACAGAGTAGCTGGCACATAATGGTGTTTCTAATCCTTTTTGGATGAATGAGTTAGTAAATTAATAAGATTAACAACTCTCTGCATCGAAGAAGCACCCCCCACTCCCCCGCCCAAATAAAAAAGTTTACTAAATCACGTTAACAAAGAAAGCAAATATATTTTGGGCTGGCCGAGTGGCGCGTTGGTTAAGAGCTGGCTTGGGACGCCAGAGGGCCCCGGTTCAGATCCCACATATGAGGGCCAGTGACACTGCCC